ACATTTCTCATAATATCCAATTTAAATAATTATCCTATTTCTAAAACCAATAATTCCCACTAAATTATTTAAAATTATAATAATCCTCCACACAACTATAATTCAACACTATCCAGTATAAAACACTGACAAACCAACAATTGCATCAATTAAATCACAAACAATTGACTAAAAATAATAAATAACTATTTGAGGTGTTACAACTAAAAATAAATAGCTCGAAGTCCATATAGAATCAGACTCATGTAGTAATTTTGAGTCTCTATCACAATAGAACTCGTTAGAAAAAGTCTTAAGCATTGTGTAGCACAAGGAGTAGATACCAAGAGGTTTTAACTTGACAACCCCTCCTCCAAAGTGTATGAAAAGACCAAAATAATCCAACCAAAATATTTCTCAAACTTTTCAAATTTCCAATACCACACAGAAAATTCCAAATTTGCAGGGCAATACTGAAGATTTCAAGTGTATACTGAAAATTTTGCGAAATAGTAAAAAATTAACGCTATTTCCTCAAATATATGGTATTTCTTCCTAGAAATTTCTAAATTTTTGGTATATTCTAACCAGAAATTTTGAAATTTATGGTTACTGTGTTTACTTTTATACCAGAAATTTTAAAATTTTCAGATGTTCACTTCCAGTACCGAAAATTTTGAAATTTTCGGTAGTACATTTTTTACTATTTTTTTTTTGTTTCAGTGAGGACTAGAGGCATAGACGGTACCGTTGCGAGCAGGCTGATCAATAGAGCGAAATCTCAAGTCCGGACTAATGAGACACATGCATTTGAGCATTTAATTTCATTTTATTTATGCAGTGCTAGATAACGAGTACTTCCCCCATATATGTGAGCAGAAAATCTAGCGTGTCCCACCTAGTGTTCCATGTGCAAGGAGGTGGAAGGGCAAGCAAGCTCTTTCCGGAGGTGTGATGGAGTACAGGAGGAGGCTTGACCCTGACGGTGCGATTTATACATGTTTAGCTAAGTTAGCGGACGTAGCCCCTGGGGGCGTATGTAGATTTGTTTTATTTTGGTTGTATTATATATATATATATTGTGATATAGAGACTTCTTATTTATTGCATAATATTTTTATGATTACATGTTTCGATTCGAAGATGAACATAACATAAAACAGTACAACAAATATAAATTAGGAAAAATTAAACATGAAAGCTTAGGCATTACCAGATGATTCTGGGTTTCAACATCTTGATTATGTCGTCGACATATCTTGTTATATGCGCATCCAACTCGATCGTACATTTAGTTATCCTACGGCGAAATGATTTTCATATGGCCTTCACATCTTCATCGGTCTTTAACTCAATCAAGTTGTATTTTGCCCTTCCATTTGTATCAATTCAATCTTTCCGAAACTCGGCCTTTCTCACCCTTTTATTATCGATATCAGGCAGTAATTCATTCAACTTATCTTTCAAGTTGTCGAAGGATGCGGTGCCATCTGAAAGCTTGAATTCAACGGGAGAGTTATTTCCGTTGAAATACATTTTGGTCTTAATCAGAAATTGAGGAAGGGGCATTTTTTGATATGTCTTTCTCTAAACCCTAAATGTCTCTATTTATACAAATGACGATATATTCTAGACCACACAAGATTGTCGGTGCAATCAGAACTCTCCAGAGATAATGACAAAATCGTGATCGTTAAAAAACTTGATTAAATGAACTACCATAAATTTTTGTGTATTTCAAATTTTCGATAGTGTTTGATAAATTTGAAAATTTAAAATATACTACCGAAAATTTTAAAGAGGTCCTACCAAAAATTTACTATGTACTAAAAATTTCTATACACCAAAAATATTTCTAGAATAATAAAAATTGATGAAATGTCAGATTAGGAGTGTCATATTAAAATCTCACATATCTAAACTTTTAATTTGACTAATGAAAAATAAAATTTGAAAATTTGACAATTATTATTTTGTTATGTAGAACGTAAAATATATTTCAGTAACATGGAATTTTGTTTGTAGTCCTCTAAAATTATGATTTTTTTTTAGTACGCTAGCGACTTTGATAGAAAACATTAATCAATTTTTTATCCTTAAACGAAAAGAAAATTTGTAAAACTATCAATAAATTTAATATTACAACTAATTCGTTTTAATTTCTTTGATTTACTCAAATATTAGTATACATATTCTAACATTTCATTTATTTTGATGTATTTGATAGAATGAGAAAACATTTTATAGAAATGAAGGAATAAGATAACTTGAAACATAATTTGAATCTGATTCCTTGAATCTAATTCCTTTACCCTTTGTGGTTATAACATACTACTCTTTAGCTATTTTTTTGAAAGTAGAAGATAATTATGTAGATAATCTCATAGTTTACATTCCCAGTTGCACTATAATTTTAGTAAAATATAAAAGTGATTTGGTTTTTTCTTCACTATCAATACGATAATAATTTTAAAAAAAATTTATAAAAAGAATTACGTGATTCAGTACTAACTTTACATGGTCCAACCTATGGGACCAAAATAAAATGCTGGATAAACTTTTTCTAAACACTTCTTTTGTTAATTTCTTCCTCAATTTCTTGTCGACTTAAAAAAACCTGTTCATTTCCCTTTCAGTAGGGATTCATTATCTCTAATGGGTCTCAATCCTTTAGAACTGTAGGGATTCATTATCTCTAATGGGTCTCAATCCTTTAGAAAACTAGTGAATGACAATGTTGCTCAACTTGCAACACCACATGTGAAATTGTGGGTAGAATGTCAGACACCAAACCTTTACAATTATACGTAATATAATATTCACGTATCACAAATACGTGAATAGTATTTTTATTTTTTTTATATTTTTATATTTTTCTTAAAAAGAATTTGGTTAATAATATATTAGAATTTACTTAATACAATTTAAAGTTTGATTAATATACATTACGATATAAAAAAATAATATATATAGATTATTCAGACTTTAATTAATATTTATATAAAATTAATTTATATAAATTATAATTTAGCTAATGAATTCTCAAACATAAAAAAAATTTAAATAATAAAATAAAATAAATTAATAGAATATAAAAATTAAGTAACATATTTATAATTTATAATTTAATATCAAAATATAATTTATATTATATATTTTATTGATTAATGAAATAGTAAAAAAAAAATATTAAATTATAAATAAAATAATAGATTAATGATATATATTTTAGTGATTAATATAATTGTGAAGTTAGTTAATGACACAGTCATATATTCGTGTTATAAAATAAATTTAAAAAATAAATATTTTTTAAAAATAATATCATTTTAATAGAAATATACTGTATAAGTACGGTAAACAATATATATGATGTAACTATTCAGTGTCAAATATAGTGTCAAAGTAGTATTACCCTAGAATAATCAACAATAGTTTGATTAAGTCCTTAACACGGCATAGGGGCATCTATTTCTCTACTCAAACCAGAATACCTACAAAGTTTAATGCTATTCATTTAAGTGGTACTTAATTTTATGTAGATTAATTAATTTTTTAAAATATCTTTAATTCAACGGAATGCATAACTACCATTATTACATTACTACCAATACAATGCATAAATTGTGTAAAATTTTCATTTTCTTCTTTATCAAAATATGTATCTCCAATATTCGGACTACAAACATTAAAAAAATCACTTTCAAAACAATTGTGTTTAACGGTTCATGAAATTTTTAGAAGAAAAACAGCTGAGTTATTGATGTGCTAAACTAAACCAATTTCTAGCTTTCTATTTTCGTCCATTTGCAAAAACCAACTTTGTATATGCAAATTTTCTTTAAAATAAATTGGATAATGATTGCCAATCCCAGTACCTCACTTAAATAGAAAGAACCAATTTTGATTTGACCCAAAATATGAATAGGAAGGGATGGAACAAATTAAGTGTTACTCAGCAACTAAAGAGGGGTAAACACAAAAAAACACATCAATGTTACTTCACAAACAAATTTAGTGAATAATTTTAAAAAAAAAACAAAAAAGGTTTCATAGAGAAAGTTTCAACTTTAACAAAACATACACTGTCAAATTGAATAGGCCTAAGATATATAGTGGAAAGGTAACAGAAATCATAATGGGGCGGAATCGAAATATTATTCCATCTTTGGGTATTTTTTATAATAAAACATGACAAACTCAATTCATAAAAGTGATGGAGTGGAATCCATATCATATCATTTATGAAGGTAACAAATGTGATGATGAATGAAATATGGTATGCGATGGGATGGAATGAAGAGGACAGGATCACAATCATGTGTAGACGAGATCAAAAAATTTCAAAGTAACTCATTACTACAAAACTTAATTGTAACACACAATGCCATGAGATACATCTTGAATTATTGCCAACATATGAAATCAATTGAAACTCTATAAACAAGAGCATAACAACAACAAAGCTAAGTCGATAGAAATAAACTATTATATAAAAAGGATCCTCAATATTAATTCAACAATACAAAGTTGATAAACTAACAAAAACCTTTGTCAAATTTCTGCAAATAAAAACTGGAAGAAAAAAAAACACAAAAACCCAGATATTAATGTTCCTGACTAATTTTGAAAATCCAAAATATAATGTTTCATATACACTGTTAAATTGTATAGGCACCAAGATGAAATATGAAAGTAACTGATGGAATGGATTGGAATCCATATCACTCCACGTAGATGACACGAAATAGAATGAATGAAATATGGTAAGTGATGAGATGAATGGATAAAACACATTGTTTCATTTCATTCAATCCGATTTTAACTGATCCAAACAATGAAATATCACTTCATTTCATTCAATGAATAAAACAAAGCCTAGGTTTAGGTTACTACAAAATTGTACAGTATGAGATCATTACCATTATATGTATTATTGCCAAAATATGAAATCAATTGAAACTCAAAGATATAACAACAACAAAGGTAAGACATAATAGAAATAAGAACTGACAAAATATGAAATCAATTGAAACTATAAACAAAGATATAAATAACAAGGTAAGACATAATAGAAAAGGATCCTCAACATTAATTAACAATACCAATTTTGATAAATTAACAAAAAAAACCATTATCAAATTTCTGCAAACAATAACTGAAAAAAAAGTTTACTTCAAACATAACCACCTCTCATCATCCTACTGCAGAAACCTAACCTTGGCAATCCAAAGAAAACGGCTCTTCAACGGTACTGCAAAACAATAATAGAACAATATTAATCATAAACAATTATAAAACAGTTGAGGACAACACTTTGAAACAAAATATTAACCTTGATGAAACCAATTTCCTTGGCATTGCTGTGGAAGCACTGCCTACAGCACATGAGTCCATACTTCCTAATCAATCCATGTGAATTCCCACACACACGGCTGCAAGCAATAAATAAACAACAATAATCAAAAACAAAATCATCAACCTAACCAAATCAGAGATATAACGAAAAGAGACAGATTCAGAAACCCTAAATTTGCGAAATTGTGATTTGAACATGGACATACCAAGTGCGTGAACCAGGACCGTAGGTCTTGGGGTGAGAATTCCAAACGTTGCTGTGTCCCATGGCTTATTGCTTTTTGCTGGTGAGACCAAACGCTGCCGCTGCTGTGGATTTCCGCGAAAGTGAAAGAGTTTTCAAATCTGCAAATACTATTTATACCGAGAACGAAATTAGGGTTTTCTGTTTCGTTTTCTTTGGGTCATGGTAAAATATTAATTGGGCTGAAATGTTGGCCCAAACTAACTTTGTGTTTGTTGAAAGAGCAAAACATATGGAAAACCCAAAACTTGATTTTTCAAAAAAATACAATCATAAAAACTTTTTGTAAATAAGTTTTTATATTAAAAGAAATCACTAGTCATAGTTGAAATGTGTAAGCAACTATGAAACTAAGATTAATTTAAAAAGTTTAGGAAAAAACATTTGTTACGGATTTTTAAATTTTTTCATAAAAGTTTTGAATTTTGTTTTTCTTTAAGAATTAAAATATTTTCATTTTCAATAACCATTATGTCTATATTTTGTGTGTGATGTTGCACTCAACGAATAGGTGCTCCAAAAATTCAAAATGATCACAAAAACTACGTACACCATCGGTTATTATTTCCAACCTTACTAACTTATCTTTTGTGGTGAGTCATTCCATATGTTCTTTTTCTCCTCTCAAGTCTTTATAAACGGAAGCGGTTTTGTATTGTCATGTTTGTAGTACTTCTTTCCAATATCGTATCGATTTTACTTTTTCTCGGCTTTTCAAAATATTGATTAGTATCCATGAGCATCGTTGAGTAGCTTGTCATGTCATTACATCGTGATTCTTGAGATAGTGTCTATTGATCCATTTCAACCAAATCTTATCAGCTTTAGCTTGTAAGTTCCATAAAAGTTTGTCTATTGTTGCTTGATTCCATTCCAATAATGATGTAATATTTAGGCCCCCTGTAAACTTGGGGTTATATATTTTGTCCTATGTCACATGAGCTTTCCTAGTTATCTTATCTTTACCACTCCAAATAAAGCTTCTACAAATAGCTTCAGTTTTATTTATCACTTTTTTGAGATGTGGGAAGACTTACATCCAGTATGTTGTAATAGTAAAGAGAATGTTTTTAATCAGTTAATATATATCTGAAGGTACAGGAAACACAAGAAATGGGAGTTTGGATTGGGTTTTTAGATTTGGAACTTTTTCTACCCAGCATAATCAAAGATGAAACACGAACAAAAATAAATAAACACAAATATTTTTATCATGGTTCACTATTAACGAAGTTAATCCAGTCCACCCGCCAATGTGATTTTGCCTTTCTCAACAAGGACTTAATCCACTATAACCAAACGATTACAACCCACAAAGACTACTTACCAATATCTTCTTAAGAAATTTTGATTATACCCTAGTCTCTCAAGAAACAACCAACTCAAGAGTTGAGATACAAAAGATGTGTTTACAAAATACTTCTAAGAAAGCAGACATACACAAGTTTAAATACAAAGATGAACATAAAAGTATTTCTAGCAAGTATATGAATGAAAGTTCCTTGCTTTACATACACAAAGTTTGAGCAATTTTCTGCTTGAAAACAAGTTTCCAATAAGGAATAATGATACAAATCTTTTTCAAGTTGAGCATACATTTATTCTGCATGATTTTTTGTCAATTCGGTGTTGCTAACAAATCCTTGTGCAAAGAAGCTTCTGATATGATGTCGATTAAAATCGAAATACAGGAGAGCATTATGTATTTTCTTAAGTGTATAAGAAGAAGCTACATGATGGCGTTTGTCAATCTCGATGTTTTGTTTTTCAAAGAATGTAATAAAGTTATTAACTTTTATGGTATCGTTCAACGGTTGTGATCATGGAACCTCTTAGAAGTATTCTTGGAGCATATGTGTGTCATAAGTAGTATGCCTATAGCCAAATATGAATCTAAGACCCAAAATACGAATGAAAAGGAGAAAATTTGAAAAGAGATTTAAGAACAAAGCATAGTTAGAGAGGTATCTGAAGAGGAAACTTTATATTTAAATATTCTTAAACAAACTCTTCGCGTCATGTGAACATCAGAAGGACTGCTTTTTGATCAATTTGAATGGATGTCTCACGTATGAGTAACATGATACTATGATTTTATTGAAGTTCTTGTAATGGTCGCTTGAGTTCGAGCAAGGGTTTAAGTTTGGAGGAGTTTGATCAGTGGTTTTTACACGGGAATTTAGCATTTATTTTAGTGAATGGAGTTTGTTCCAAGACAGGGATCCCAAGCAAATAAGAAAATTCTTCCAGGGTGGGAACCAGCTGAAAGTCTTGAAAGGTGAAGCAATGATACAGAGGGTCATAAAATTGGGTCAGAACACTTATCAGTTGTTGGTCCCATTTTGCAGTGATCAAGCCAAGGAGAGAACCATGTCTGTTGATGAAGGAAGAAGTGTTTGGAATCCTTCCAACCAAATCCTTGAGTAAAACTGGTGGTTGAACAAAGTTGAGCCGAACAGTATTTCTACGCACGGGCATCATGATGTCCTACAAAACAGAGCAAAGATGAAACTTTTTTGTCTTTGAAATGGGTTAGCCTTTTATACAGGATGCATGCAATGGTATGATGGCATGATGCTATGATGAAGCACATCACAAGTATTCACATAGGCAAATAAGGCACACAAGTCACACAAGACACCCTTAGGTTTCAGGCCAGCATGAGTTTCAGGTATTACCCTCTTTTGGTTTTGTCGGTTAAAAACTTGTCCTATCAAAAGTAACCGGGTTCTAGAGGATCTCAAATCATTGGCTACCCTCAATCGGTCATAACTCCAGCATCGCAATCTTTTCTCGCGGCCAGAACCATCTCGAGAGTTTAGCCTCAATGAGTGTAGCATACTGCTACTGTCCTAATAGCCAAGTTGGTCAATTTAGGGTTCTAAGGTTGGTTGGTGTTTAATGACCCCTTAGAAGACCTATATTCTCCCCGTTACAACACAAGGGATATAGGTACAGACTAAGATGCCACACCAACGTAGCCACTGCTTCACCCATGTCGGTCTACGCCGGACAGGTCCCTCACAGATTATGCTACCTAAAAAAGGGTATATCCCAGATCCGGGTTAGGATCTATGAACTCCGATGCAAAGCCCACAAATATAAAAGCAAACAAAGCAAGCAATTGAAAACAAAGGTGATCTAAGCCCTAAGGTTACTCCACTTTTAAAAGTTTTCCCCAGCAGAGTCGCCAGTTCTGTGATACGGTGGGAGAACTGACTTGGGTTTTGCGTTTGTATTCGCAAATGTTGCGGTTAGCAAGAGTCGCCACCGACTTTTTATTTTATCCTAAGGAAAGGTTAAAAAGCACAGCAAAAACCTTTTGAGATGTTTTCTTGGGTTCGGGGAGTAGATTATAGAAAGGGAAGGTATTAGCACCCTTTTTATCCATGGTTATCCATGGGCTCTTAGTTACTTGCTTTAGATCACTTGCCTTTTGTTTTCAATTGCTTTAAATGGTGTTTTGTATGTGGGTTTTGAAAATGTTTTGAAAAGATGCCAATGTGGTGGCGACCTTTGTAATGATCCATGTGGGGATGTATACAAAGATGTATGTCTTTTGACAAAGTTTTCATTTGTTTTTTGAAAGTTGTTTTGAAAGTGTAGTGAGGTGTGGTTTTGAATTTAGGCAAGTGTTTTGTTTTGCAAGTTTGATTCAAGTAACTAAGAGGTTTATCTACTCCTAAATTTCTCAAAAGATTATTGCTATGTTTTAACCCTTTTAACAAGTTTGTTCCACCATTGAATTTGGTGAACAACCTTATGTTAGGATGTGAAAGGGACAGGCGCGGGTCATCGTTTAGACCATAATTGCAACGGCGTTAAATGTCTTTGGGCAATTTTCTTTAAGGGACTTGATCATTTGTTTTTGTTTGTTTTTTGAAAAGTTTTATCGAGGGACTATGATCATTCAAATTGTTTGCTTTGCCCAAAGAAGTTCAACATACAAGATGGCCCATTTATTTGAAGGCAACAAGTGGAATACCCTGGGGTGCAAGTGTGAGATGTGTTGTTTATTTTCATGCTCATTTATCTTGTTATTAGGTCAAACTATTTTTTATCGTTTTTCGCATACAAACCCTAATTCTAACATATTATCATTAGAAAGCAATAAAGTGCGAAATTAAAAATTACTAAGCTATTACAAAACCAAATATGGGAAGGGGGGTACAAATGTTCAAATGGGGATATTGACAAGAATTTAAATCTAAATTATTACATCATTTTAAATATTTGCAATTTAATCAATGTACAAGAAATTAAATAAAAAATGCAAGATGCAAAAGAAATGTTTTGTATATGTATGAAAAAATATTATTTATGTAAAAGAGAAAAGAAAATAAAAATAAAAAAATATTATTTTTTGGAGTATTTTGATTTTAGGGCAAAAACCCTAATTTTGAAGAAAATGCATTATTATCTAATTTAATACAACTATTTATTTATTATTTATAAAAAAATAAAATAAAATGAAGTATATTATGGAAAAAGTATTTTTGTATCAAATATTAATAAAATAAAAAAACATTCAAGTATTTTGTATTTTAACTTAAACATATTAATAAACATATATATATATATATATATATATATATATATATATATATATATATATATATATATATATATATATATATATATATATATATATATA